GCTCCAACTCCTGCAGCACCTCCAGCAGCTCCAGCAACGCCAACTCCAGTACCCCGAGGAGCATCCGCACCAGTAGCACTGACAGCTCCAGCACCTCCAGTAGGACGAGCGTCAGCGCCTCCAGTTGCAGACCCTGCAGTACCACTAGCTCCAGCACCTCCGGCAGCTCCAACAGCACCTCCAATCCCAGCAGCTCCAGTACCGCCAGTACAAGCACGTCTAGGATTAGTGGCGCCAGCACCTCCAATGCCAACCCCAGGGTCGGCAGCCACACCAGCACCAGTAGCTCCAGCGCCCTCAGCTCCAACTCCTATAGCACCCCCAGCTCCCACAACACCACGTCTGCGGCGACACTGCTGAGAGAACCAATCATGCAGCTGCTGGGACGGAAGAGCGCCCCCAGGCGCAGCACCCCCAAGCTCAGGACCTCCAGGCTCAGCACCCCCAGGCTCAACACCCCCAGGCTCCACACCCCCAGGCTCAGCACCCCCAACCTCCGCACCCCCAGGCTCCGCACCCCCAAGCTCAGCACCCCCAGTCTCAGCACCCCCAGTCTCAGCACCCCCAGTCTCAGCACCCCCAGTCTCAGCACGCTCAGGCTCAGTACCTCGCGCAGGACCAGAGTCGACAGCTACCTCGACAGGCTCAATTAAGTCTACCTGGGAAACACCTGAGGGAGCAGGACCTTCGGGAGGTAGGGGGTATACTGAAGCAGCACCTGGCGTGAGGAAGAGCGGCGGAGGGGGGATCGGGGCAGTGCGATAGGGGAAGAGACGGTAAAAGGGGACCGACTCGTCAAATGTGACGTCCTGAGAGGGGAAGACACGGCGCGAGGTGGGGTGGTAAAACTGACAACCAGGCGCGTCAGGGACAAAGCCAAGGAAGGCACAAGGAACGGCGCGGGAGAAGAGCTTGTCCGCGGACGTATCGTGGACAAAGGCGCGAGATACCCAGACCCGGAACACGGACGCATCGCCAACCTCTCCCGTCCAACGCAGTGTCGGCGAGGACTCCGGAACAGAGACACGGGGCCAGATGTTGAGCTGATGCGCGGCGTACCGGACCGCAAACGGCCACAAAAAATGGGGGGCAGCTGCATGGATCAAGGAGGTACGAGCGACCTCCATGACCAAGCCAATGCGGCGCTCAGCAACCCCATTTTGCTGCGGAGAGGCCGGAAGCGTGAACGTCTGCTCAATGCCCTCCCCCTGACAGAAGGCCCTCAAGAGGCCAGAGGAAGACTCACCACCTCTATCAGAGTGCAGTCGCAGGACGGGAAGGTCCGTATGAAAGCGCCTCTCCAGCTGTAGACGGGTAGCGTGGATCCAAGGGATCAAGACATCAGGGACCTCACCCTTGGTGCGCAAGGGGAAGACCGTGGTGTAACGCGTGTAGTCGTCAACTACCAACAGAAAGTAGTGCTCTTCGCCCTGTCCACGAACTCGGGCCGGGCCCCACACGTCCATGTGAAGGGTCTGGAAAAGAGCCTCTGTTGGGGGGAACTCAGATGAGTGGGGGGCAGCGCGCTGCCGCCCCTCGACACAGGGAAGGCAAGGAAGGGCAGGGGACTGTGGCAGGGGAGGCAGTGACCTGGGGAGACCAGAGACAAGGTATCGGGAGTGCATGCCACGAAGGCGCTTCATCGAAGGGTGACCAAGGCGGTGATGCCAGAGGACCGTCCGGTGCGACAAGGTGCGACACGAGTAGGGGGCGGACAACTGACCTGACGCTGACGCAGACGCAGCTATCTGAGGGGACTCAGTGGTCAGTGTGTACATGTCCGACCCCGGCTACCGAGTGAAGGTAGCCAGGTGACGATCCGTCTGAGCACACGTGCAGTGTGTCACGCGCTCGTAGGCAGGGGTGAACTGGTGAACACCCGCGTCCTGGAGCGCGGAATCCGCCACCAAGTTCGTAGAGAACGAGGGGAGGTAAAGACCCGACAGCGTGCCGGACGGGACAGCAGGGCAAGGGAGGGCAGTGGTGGAGGTCGCAAGGACCGACCCCCGAAGGGGTCAGCCAGGGAGACAGCAACAGGCCCAGGGAGATGTGCTAGGGTAGTGCAGTCTCGAAAGAAACAACGGGAAGCACCTGAGTCCAGTGTGAAGGTGTGCAGTGCCTCAGTAGATGCAGTACCTTAAGACGCAGACTCACGAGCACCTGAAGCAGCAGACGCACCAGCACCTAGAGCAGTAGCCTCACTTGGACCTGGGGCAGCAGACGCACTAGCACCTAGAGCGGCAGCCTCACTGGACTCAATGCCCGGGTCGGGGGGGACATCCAGGTAACAGTCACCCCCAACACTAATAGTCAATGCATACATAGCACCAAGGATAACATCAAAGTCAAGCTAATATATCAATGTTCTTTTTAAGCAGATCAGCCCAGCGGGGCAGCTCAGAGGCGTCAGGGAACTGTGCACGCCAGGCGTCGTCAAGACGGGAGAAGCAGCGCTACTGCGTGTGGGGCCTCCCACACGTCTGACCAGCGCGGTCACTTGTGCGGATAACATACAGGCAGGTACCTCCACCCCCAGACCCCCCATGCTGAGAGTACCACTCACAAAGCTGCTGGGGCGACGGGGTCTCTCCGAGACGCTGCTGCTGGCACTGGACACCCCCGGAACCTCCACGCAGCGCTGGTCCACCCCAACCACCACCCCAGCCGCCGCCACCACGCCTGCTGCCGCCACCACCACCGCCTCCACCCGGCCCCCTCCACCACCACTGCCGCCACCACTCCCGCCGCTGCCACTGACCCCCCCAACCCCGCCACCACCCCCACCACCGCCACCACCCCCACCGCCCCCACCACCTCCACCTCCACCTCCACCTCCCCCGCTGTCACTGCCACCACCCTTGCCCCCCTTGCCCCTGCCGCCCTTGCGCCTACACTAGGAGCAGACGCAGCCCCGACTTCCTCAGCACCAAGGTAGTCGACAGCGGCAGCAGAGGCGACCGAGGCGAGAAGGGGGGGAGGGGAACACCCGTCAAAGAAGGGCGTGCGGGGGTCGCCACGAGAGGCACCTACAGCGACTATGCTAGCCTCAACTACAAGCAAGTGCTTCTCAAGTAGGTCAACGGTGAGCTCGGTGGGGCAGAGGACGAGAAAGTGGTCCCTGACTGCGCGAAGGGAGTCGGGGAGACGGGTGACTAGGTGGTAGAGAACGAGGTATATCGGGGGAAGATTCTTGGCTAGAAACTCAGCAGGAAGGGCAGCTCGGTAGTGAGTGTCACTAGTGCGGAGGTGAGTAATGAGGTCAGCGACTGTGAGAAAGGCGGCCAGATCGGGGAAAAGATAGGGCAGCGAGAGACGGCCGATTGTAGCAGAGGCAGGCGAGGAGTAGCGCGCTACTACACCATCGTGCAGTGCCTTAGCAGTCTTGTGCTGGCCAAAATGTGCGCGCTCATCTAGCGGTAGGTGGCTGCGAATGGCTAGGCGAGCGTGAGCGTCACGAGTCTGCCACTGGGAGCGAGCAGTACTGTCAGCAGTCTCAGCAAGTGCGGGAGCGGTTCCGGACGCGTGATCATACAGTGAGGTATCGTCCTTAGCAGTGATCTGTAGGAACAGGTGTAGGTCATCGAGCCAAGCATCAAACTGAACCGGGCGGCCCTCAGCATCGAAAGAGATAATGGTGGGAGTAGCCATGGTGGCAGTAGTAGCAGTAGCAGCAGTAGCAATAGCAGCAGTAGCAGTGACAGTAGTAGTAGTAGCAGCAGTAGCAGTAAGAACAGCAGTAGCAGAAGGAACAGAAGTAGGAGTTGCTGCAGGTGGGGCAGCGCGGCTTGGTAAGGGCGGCGCGACTCGGGCAGGACGGCGCGGCGCGGCTCGGGCAGGTAGGGCGGCTCGACGGCGGGCCTGTGCACGGTGCGCTACTGCGTCTAGGGTGCGGCTGCGCGCGGGCCGCGGCTGCGTGTGTGTGGCGGCTAAGCGCGAGCTGGAGCAGCCGACGCGCGACAACCGCTGCGCGTGGGCTGCGACCTGCGGGCGGGCGGTGGCTGGTCGAGCGTCAGCCTACGGGCGAGCGGCGGCCTACTGGCGCGCGTGAGAAATAACGGGCCGCACACGGGCGGCTAGCGGGCTGCTCGCGCTAAAAACGGGGGGGCTGCGCTCGGGCGGCTAGCGGGCTGCAAACGGGCAGCGTGAGAGGGAGGGCGCAGGAGGGCGCACTAGTAGAGGGCGCTAAGGAGGTGGGGCGCACGAGGGCGCTTCTAGCGGAACGGTAGCGGTCCTAGGTTTCTAACCTATGCTCGTAATACCATGTCAGAATCAACAAGTGTGTTTGCACAAGGCAAGTGGTGGGTACAAGTAGGAAACCCTAAACTTTATGTACCCCATAGTAACTACCCCACTACAACCTAAACAAACTGTTAAGTATAAGTTTGACAAATGTTCGCTCGTGCATTCGCTTACATTTTGTACTTGTTTGACACCTTAGTGCAATCCTCGCTACCTCGATTCCTTGTATCCGTTACAGATAGAAAGATTAAGAATATCAGATAAATATATAAAAATTCCATGCTACCACCACTCCAGGCTTTCGTGTCCAGATTGACTTGTAGATTGTTGGGAAAGGCGTAACCCCAAAATATACACATTAAATCGTCATAACTACCTTACTTGGACCATAAATTTCCTCGCACCGCCGCTCAAACGAGTTGACAAGACTGCTCACCACCTCGTCAAAAAAGAGGTCCAAAAACTGTAGGGACGATACGAAAGAAATCAGAATAGAACGAAACAAAACAAAATACGGCATTTCGCTAGGGTTTAACCGCTGCAAAGGAGGAAGCTTCATTCGGCGAGGAGGAGAATCTGCCAACAGCTGAAGTCAACAAAAAGAGTGCCTCTGACCTTTAAGGTGAACTACTTATTTCATAACAAATGTGACAATGTTCGCTGTAACCGTGCCGCGGTAGCTGATTGCAGTGACCACAGACGCATGGACTTGTGTGTTGTGGAGCGGAGGTGCATCTAAATCCACCTTAGATAACCTGGAATTACAGCCCAGCCCACCTGGGTGTAGAGCCCACCTGGGTGTAGCGCCCACCTGGGTGTAGAGCCCACCTGGGTGTAGAGCCCACCTGGGTGTAGAGCCCACCTGGGTGTAGAGCCCACCGGGGTGTAGAGCCCACCTGGGTGTAGAGCACACCTGGGTGTAGAGCACACCTGGGTGTAGAGCACACCTGGGTGTAGAGCACACCTGGGTGTAGAGCCCACCTGGGTGTAGAGCACACCTGGGTGTAGAGCCCACCTGGATGTAGAGCACACCTGGGTGTAGAGCACACCTGAGTGTAGAGCACACCTGGGTGTAGAGCACACCTGGGTGTAGAGCCCACCTGGGTGTAGAGCACACCTGGGTGTAGAGCACACCTGGGTGTAGAGCACACCTGGGTGTAGAGCACACCTGGGTGTAGAGCACACCTGGGTGTAGAGCACACCTGGGTGTAGAGCCCACCTGGGTGTAGAGCCCACCTGGGTGTAGAGCACACCTGGGTGTAGAGCACACCTGGGTGTAGAGCCCACCTGGGTGTAGAGCACACCTGGGTGTAGAGCAGGGAGCGGAACTGGAAGTCAACGGAGAAGGAGAGCAGGCAGGAGCCGGGGAGGCGACCAGGGGCGAACTCCCAGTGGTTGTCCAGATGGTGGAACAGCCCCGTGTCCGCCGAACGAGCCTGATAGGGCAGAGGTACGAGAGGGCGGTTCTGAGCATTGGGGCGAACTCCCTGTGGATGTCCAGATGGTGGAATAAACCTGTGTCCGCTGAACGAGCCTGAGGATAGGAAAGCAGGGGCAGGAGGGGAGAGTGCTCAGGAAGGCATGGTGGAGGGGTTTGAGCCCGGGAGGCGGCCAGGCTAGGGGCGAACTCCCAGTGGTTGTCGAGATGGTGGAAGAGCCCCGTGTCAGCAGAATGAGCCTGCGAGAATGGCGGGGAGGTTAGAAGAAGGGCACAGGTGCAAGAGAAATGTGAGATGGGCCGGGGGGTCTGAGCACAGGGGAGAACTCCCAGTGGTTGTCCAGATGGTGGAAGAGCCCCGTGCCCGCTGAACGCGCCTGAGGGAGGGGCAGGAAGGAAGAGTGATACAAAAGGCAAGGACGAGGGGTTCGAGCCGGGAAGGCGGCCAGGAGCGAACTCCCAGTGGTTGACCAGATGGTGGAAGCGACCCATGTCTGCTGAGCGTGCCTGCAGAAATGATGGGGAGGTTAGAAGAAGGGCGTTCAGGAAGGCAATGAGGAGGGGTTTGAGCCGGAGAGGCGGCCAGACAAGAACTCCCAATGGTTGTCCAGAGGGTGGAAGGGACTCGTGTCCGCTTAACGAGCCTGCGAGAGCAGGAAGAGGGACAGTAGGGAAGAGCGTTTAGGAAGGCAATGAGGAAGCAGGATCTGGGGAGACTGCCAGGTAGGAACTCCCAGGTAAGAACTGCCCGTGTCTGCAGAGCGAGCCTGAGGAGGATTGGACTGGGAGAGTGGAAAAGAATTTAGGAGGGCCGAGAGAAGAGAGAAGCGTGAGACGGGCGGGAGGGTCGTAGCACAGAGGGGAGTTCACAGTGGTTGTTGGAATGGTGGCGGAGCACTGTGTTGGTTGAGATGGTGGCGGAGCACTGTGTTGGTTGAGATGGTGGAGGAGCACTGTGTTGGTTGAGATGGTGGAGGAGCACTGTGTTGGTTGAGATGGTGGAGGAGCACTGTGTTGGTTGAGATGGTGGAGGAGCACTGTGTTGGTTGAGATGGTGGAGGAGCACTGTGTTGGTTGAGATGGTGGAGGAGCACTGTGTTGGTTGAGATGGTGGAGGAGCACTGTGTTGGTTGAGATGGTGGAGGAGCACTGTGTTGGTTGAGATGGTGGAGGAGCACTGTGTTGGTTGAGATGGTGGAGGAGCACTGTGTTGGTTGAGATGGTGGAGGAGCACTGTGTTGGTTGAGATGGTGCTCTGTGTGGAACGAGCACTGAGCTGTGGGCACGTGCTCTTGAAGGGCGTACCTTGGGAGGAGGGGGGGGGGTGGGGGACTCAATGTGCTCTATGCACCCTTGAAGACTGGTCGTTTGTAGGTGACTTGTGAGAGTGCGGAACTCTCTCGCATTTTCGGCTCCGCCCTTCAATTTCCGGCTACGACCTTCATGAATGCGTTCCGAGCATGCACCCTTGACACTCAGAACATGTGCTCTGTGCACCCCAACACACGACTCACGGTAACAAACAGTGGTCGCTTGTAGGTAACCCGCGAAAGGTACTTCTCCCGCAGCATGTGGAACCCGATCTCTAACTCCGCCTCCATGCCATCCGGTGCCCGCCACAGCACATGCGAGCCCACACACCAGGGCAGGAAGGCAGAGTAGTGTTCCACCCCGGCCACCACGTCGAACACCTGCTCTGGTGAATAGCTGGGGGAGCAGAAGAGGGTCATGGGTCATCATGGGTCATCATGGGTCATCATGGTCATCATGGGTCATCATGGATCATCATGGGTCATCATGGGTCATCATGGGCCATCATGGGTCATCATGGGTCATCATCGGTCATCATGGGTCATCAGGGGTCATCATGGGTCATAATGGGTCATCATCGGTCATCATGGGTCATCAGGGGTCATCATGGGTCATCATGGGTCATCATGGGTCATCATGGGTCATCAGGGGTCATCATGGGTCATCATGGGTCATCATGGGTCATCATGGGTCATCATGGGTCATCATGGGTCATCATGGGTCATCATGGGTCATCATGGGTCATCATGGGTCACCATGGGTCATCATGGGTCATCATGGGTCATCATGGGTCATCATGGGTCATCATGGGTCATGTGTCACGGGAAGAGCAGGCGAGGAGCCATGCACACCCACCCAATCAAGCGTTTCTCTTGAAACTTCTTGGAAGGCGACGAAAAACCCAGAAACCCTCCGCCTCCACCTCCGCCGCCGCCGCCGCTGCTCAGGTTGCTGCTGCTACTCGACCAAGAAGCGTGCCGGATGCCTAATCCTAATCCACCATTACGGAGAGCAGCGGAAGCGGCGGAGGCATGGGGCGGATTCGCGGCGATGGCGAGAGGGGAGTCGGCGGAAAGCAAGTCGGCGAAAGGAGAATCTGGATTGTTAAAACCCTTCGTAAGCCCTGCGAGTTGCTCACGATCGCTCTCGCCGCCTACGGGTCTGATCCCTTCTCCCGAGCCGAGATGGAATGGACGGGGCGAGTGGGTGTCGATTCTCCGCCGCGTGCTAGAGTAGTTATGAGAGTGGGGATGGGGATGCGCGTTCGCGTGCGCGTGCGCGAGGGGGCATGGCGGAATTGGATTGGCGGAAGGAACAAAGGCGGAGCAGATCCGCCGGGTGGGGAGAGCGGCAGCGTCCGGATTCGCTGAGTGTAGTCGGGCGCTAGAAGCGAGTCTGTTGGTATCGAAGCCGCGAATACTAGACGGATCGACGCTTCCGCGGAGTACTGCGCCTGGTGATCTCGAGTGATCGGATCGTGGCGATTCGGCCATTCGCTGCGGCACGAGCGACGCGATATTGAAGGTTCTAGACTTCCTTTGTTCGACATGCTCGCCCGCGCGACGCGATGAACTGAACGCCTTTAATACGAACGCGCTCGTATTTTCCTGCTTGATACGAGGGTGCTGGAGTGATGGTGTTGCTAATAGACTGTTTACTCTCAAAGCGACTCCCGCCGCTCTTTCCGCCGCCGGTCGCGCTGCTCTCGTAAAACCCACTGCATTCGCGAATTCGCGGCAGAAATCATGCCGTCGATTAGCTTGTAACGAGTACAGAAACTGCTGTAACGGGCGACAGTGTCCACGGCAGTGGCGCATCCTCGTTAGTAGCCAAGTATCTTGTGCGACGAACCAAATACCGTATATTTAACGACGAAGGGTCCCTAGTCGAGAGCTAAAATGAAGACAACAACTGAGCGTGGATAACGGAGGGGGGAAATCGAGCCGCGTCAATGTCACCAGGAGCAACGGCTAGTTTTGGGAAGAGCAAGGACTTCAGAGGAGCTTGCTTGGTTTTCTGTTCCTGAGCAGCGAAGCCGCTATGGGTATACTCGTTAATTTGCACGTACCGTACATCGAAACACTAGATAATGGATGGATTTTAATTGTGGTAACCGTTTGAGACCAACAGTCTGACCAACATCTAGATAACAACTGGAACATTGTCTCTGGTGACTAATCTTGATCCAGACTAGCAAGCATAATGTTAAATTAATGAGTGAATAATACAGACAAAGCCATTAACCTAAGAGCAAAACCTACCCAAGCCACACGTGCGCCTACTCTCCCTAGCCACATAAACAGGCGGCTGGTTCTCATTCGACAAAGACTGCAGGGGACTTTTCTTGAAACCCTCTGCCGGGACTTCAACCCCTGAATCAGGAGCATGGTTACTGAATCCAATGCCACCACTGGAACCACCAGTGGTGGTGGTGGTGGTGGTGGTTGTGGTGGTGGTGGTGGTGGTATCAGGCATGGTGTGGATGCGCGGAGATCCCCAGGGATTGAAGGCCATGAAGCAGCGGGAAGCTGCTTGGAAGGAGAGAGCCGAGGAGGCTCCGCACATGTTGCTGTTGTTGCTGAACTCATCCCCTGACAGGGATGACCCCACAGGGCAATGCACCTGCTGCTGCTGCTGCCACTGCTGTTGCTGATGGTAGTGGTGCTTCTGCTGCTGCTTCTCATGTGAAAACGGGGCGGCGACAAGCGGGAGAGGCCGAGGGGAGAACCAGGGTGAGAAAGCCGAGGAAGCTTCCTCACACTCCTCCCTCCTGCCCTTCTGCTGCAGCTGCTGCTGCTGCTTGTGGGTCAACTGGGCGGGGGTGAGAGGTAGAGGCCGCGGGGAGAACCAGGGAGAGCCAGGAACAAAAGCTTCCTCGTACTCCTCCCGGCGGCTCTTTTTCCGGCACACGGCAATGGGCGGCGGGCAGAGGCTGAGCGGAATGGAAAGAGACGCGTCCCCTGCCATGCCATCCGCAGCCATGCCATCCACGCCACTAGCCCCATCCGCCATGCCGCAATCATCCATGTCTGCTGCTTCCATTCGAGTGAAAGTTGACGCTGAGGTGGCGGTGGAGTTGGAGAGCGATGGGGAGAGAGAGGAGGAGAGAGGAGGTGGGGAGGAGCGGGACGGGGAGGAGCGAGAGGCGGAGGAGGGTGGGGTGGACTGAGACGCGGAGGACTGTGACGGGCAGGGGGAGTTGAACGACGGGCAGCCCGAGAAAGAAACTGCTGGTGCGGGCAGGTTGAGCGGTTGTTGCGGGGCAAGGGGAGGTGCGTTTCCGCAAAGAGGAAAGGGGGTTTTGAGAGCGGTGCAGACTGGTGATGGAGGGGGCGGGGTGGTTGGGTGGCACGTTGGGAGCTGCTGCGGGCGATCCTGTTGCTGCCAGACCTTATTGAATCGCTCTGTAGCGGAACCAAGAGGCGGCTGAGCGATGGGGCGAATGGGAATTGGAGACCCAACAGGACGACCAGGGGACGCAGGGCGAAAGGGAAAAGCAGCGGAGCGGAGAGGGGAGGCGACGCGTGGGGCAGTGGGTGGAGCTCGGGGAGAAAAGGCTGGGGGAGCGACGGGCGGAGGAGCAGCGCTGCTAGAAACCGCCTGGGTGCTAACCTCCGCTTGCTGCTCCGTCTGCTGCTGAAACTCCTTCTCCTTCGCATTCATCCTCCTCTCTCTCTCCACTTCTCCCGGTTCCTTCGAATCCACAGGACACGACGCCTTTACCGCTACCGCGAGATTTGATTCCGCTACCGCGAGATTTGATTCCGCTACCGCGAGATTTGATTCCGCTACCGCGAGATTTGATTCCGCTTGCGCTTTCACTGGAACAACCTTTTCCCCGGATCCCGCAGGGTCCGCCGACATTACATCCGCCGCCGCATCTCCCGCCGTGAGATCCGGCAGCTCGAGCCCGAGCACCCACGGGTGCTGCAGCACTTCCGCCGCCTTGAGCCGCCTGCGCGGATCCACCTCCAGCATGCGCCGAACGAGGTCGCGCGCGCCCGTGCTCACGGGCGCCCACGCGGGCGCGGAGAAGTTGATCGCCCCGCGGAGAATCGACCTCCGCAGGCCCTCCGCGTCCGCGCGGTCCTTCCCCGCGAAGGGCACGCGCCCCGTGAGCATGGCGCAGAGCACCACGCCCATGCTCCAGACGTCCGCGCGCTTGCCGTATTTGCGCCCGCGGACCATCTCCGGCGCGGTGTAAAAGCGGCTCCCCGCCATGCCGTGCCCCATCTGCCCGTGCGGGAGGAAGAGCGCGAGCCCGAAGTCTGCCACGCGCACCCGCCAGCGCCACGCGGCGGCGGAATAATCCTCGGAATCTTCCTGCGAGCATTCCGCGGCCCCAAATTCTGCGCCGAATTCCGCGCAGGAATCTGCGGCGGGTGCGGACTGGTTGGGGCCTGTGAAGAGGATGTTTTCGGGTTTAATATCGCGATGCAGCACGCCGCGCGCATGGCAGTACGCCACCGCCAGCGCCACCTGGCGGAATATCTCCCGCGCCATGTCCTCCGGCATGCCCGCCGCGTGATCGGATTTGATCAGCTCGAATAGATCCCCGCCCTCGCATAGCTCCATAACGAGGTACACCGCGGCGCCGTCTTCTAGCGCCTCGACGAGCTGCACGATTCCGCCGTGGCGGCTCGGGCCCGCGGCGGTGAGCTGCTGCAGAATCGCGACCTCCTTCCGCACTTCCGCGGCGTCCGACTCGGAGGTGATTAATCGCTTGTCGATTCTCTTGCAGGCGAACTGGCGACCCGTCGCGTTATGCGTGCATTCTAAGACCTCGCCAAACGCGCCCTTGCCTAAGTGACGGCCTAGAGAGTACTCGGTGAGGAAATCCCGAGGGGGCGGAGGAGTGGAGGGAACAGGCACCGTCATCGCGAGTATCTTTGACTCTAAAAGAACGGTGCAGAATCCCGACAATCTTTCAATCTGACGAGCAGGGATTGTGACTGCCTGTGTTTAGATGCTTCTGGTGCTGATTCAGCCGCTAGAGAAAACAATCGAGGGCGAACGCGTCTAGGCTAAGATAACAATAAGCGTCAAACAGCGCTCTGGGTCCTAAAGAGAAAAGCGTCCGCGACAAGCTGCCTTGCGGGAAAAGTAAACAAAGAGCTACACGACCTGATCGTCGCTGCTGGCCTGGATGAAACCGAAACTGGTTGACTGACTGCTGGTGTTTGGCTTGGCTTGGTACTGCTTGCTATTGGCGTGCGAGGGGGGACGAAAAAGAACCTTGCGTGTGGTGGACTGAGTTGTGCGTCACGTCGAGTGATTCAAGTCACCGCTGCAAATGTGCCTTTTGTTGGTCCGTCGCGCAGACACCGCCTCTTGCGGCGGTGTAGGGGTGGGGTGGGGGCGGATGTGCTGCTGGGGATGAGTGGATGCGACGAAGATGCGACGGGCTGGACTGGATTATTGGAACGAAACAGTACGGAGTGTTGAAACTGCCTATCGCGTGGTTTTATGGGTCGGCGGCACTGATGTGCGACGGTTTTTGGATGTGTCGGTGTACTCTCGTTCGTCGTCGCACACACTTCCTCGGTGCTTCGGCGAACGAGCACGACTATCCTTGACCAATCAGAGCATTCTCTCGTTCGGTGGCGACGATGAATTGCATTATGGGTGTGGGATGCCATGCCATCCAATCCTTTTCCAGCTATATGCTGGCGTTTTTGCGTTATTGACTCCCAGCCCAGATGACCCCTCAGCGCGTCTTGCGCAACCTCCGCTCGTTGGTCGGGCAGATGAAATGAAACTCAGTGACGGCAAACTGCGCCGAGCGAATTTGGGCTACAGTGTAGTGGCGGGCGGTGGTGGGCTGGCTGGTGATGGTGAGCTGAGCCACTGAACGCAAATTCCCTTCCGCGTGGCCATGGCTGACCTGGGGAGGGGGGACGAACCACCGCGGAACGGCGATGCCTGTTTGCAGACGAGCTGCGAACCGACCAACCGCGAATATGCCTTGGAAGGGGCTGGTGCTGAGCGTACAGTCAGCGACTCACCGAGCCTGATTCCCACTACCGCACCAAACCATACTGAAACAAAGAAGACCGAATTTCCTTCCACCTCAAAAGACCATGTTGAAAACGCGGCTTGAGAAAGTCGCTGAATGCAAGACCTCTTGCAATTGGCTGCTTCTAGTTCAGAGCACGCGTCGTGCTGACGGGACGGAAGTCAGGTCAGGGTGTCTGCCTGGGGCTGGGGCGGACTGGGGGCTCGCGGTAAATCCGAGTTGCACATGCGACTCGGATGACGTACAGCTCATGAGATGCTGCTTTGCTGTTTCTGCTGACCTGCAGGTTGACCAATTGTCCCTGCTGGGTTCATGGAACGTGCATGCGAATCCCGCATGGTCCGAGCCGAGACGTCGATCAAAAGAAGAGTTTCGTCAAAGTGGAAACCGAATTCGCTCGCCGCCAGCGCCACTTCGTATCGCCGTCACTTGAACCATCGGGTACTGCTGAGGCGAGGCGCTTCCTTGCGTGACAGGGAAGGCAAACGGAAACTCGGTAATAAGAGTATCGATTGGGAGTTTCGATGAATGTATGGCTAATCAGATGTGCTAAATTGATTGAGTTTTTTTATGCAAGATACACTAAAAGTGCAAAATACATCGGCAGTCGTAACTGTAGCTAATGGGCCTAGGGGGATAACACCCTCCGTACCCATCCCGAGCTTCTAAGGGGGACGGAAAGCAGCCCTTGAGTTCGACCAGATGGCCATGAACCTTTAGACCACATGGCCGGTTGTGCTGTGTTGTCTGTTGGGAACAAATAAGTTAAGCGTCTCTGTCGTGTCAGAACTCAAGGCACAAAGCGAAGCAGCTCAAGTCGAAGCATCGCGAGTCAACCCTCGGAAGTTAACGTAACCGTTGGAGGTTACGAGAAAGTCAAAGGTCAGCGACCTTTGACCTGACACAGCGCGACAGCAAGGACACACAACTGACTCGACATTGAGCAGTTGCCCGAGTCGCACTGTATCGAACCGCAACAGTAAAGTAGTTATAATGTCTCTTCATATTCTTTGTACTCATCTATTTATATTCCTATATCTCTTTGCTTTAATTAACTTACTTTGCCCTCACATACTAGCGCAAGGTGGTTCAAGGACTTTATTCAACGCTTCCGCTATTACAACACCTACTCATACTTTAGCTCTACAAAGATCCTACGGCATTTCAGCCCAACATTGTCGAGGATGTGGCTCAAGACCCGGCACTCGTCATCATCCAGTCCAGGACGAGTGGCAACGAGCCTCTTGGATGCCGCCTTAGCGCGCTTGTAAATTCTGACCTAAATTGAGACATGTCTGCTAGAAAGGAGAGGAGCTCCTCCAACGGCTCTCCCGGTACTACCCCTACTCCACCTCCTGCCTCTGGCCTACAGACAGAGGAGGGGACAACGACAAGACCAGCAGCTGGGTCTATGGAAACACCCGCAAACCAAGGCGCGTGCTTCGATCCAAGCATGACGGAGAATTTTTTCTCCTTCATGTCCTTCTACGAGCAGCACCAGCAAGGAGCACCTGCGCAATCAAACAACAGCAACAACAACAACAACGTGACGCCTATGAGTCTCGATGGCTCATCCTACGCACGCGGGAATCAACATCAACAACCTACCTTCGCTCCGTACGAGCCCCAGCGCGGCTCCGTCAGCTTCATGCCGCAACCACAACCTGCACCGGGACAAGAGAGAGCACTGGACGCATTACAAGTTCAGTCGCAATTCGCGCATGTTCTAAAACTGCAAACGACAAAGCCATTTGACAGAAAAGACTTCTTTACCTCGTCGTTCGAATTCGAGCTGATGATGGAAGGAGCGCAGATCCTTGGCTTCTTCGACGGGTCCCTGCCATATCCAACAAACGGCACGCAGTATGAGAAGCAGCAGTACACTTATCAATCGATGATGGCGTACACAATACTACTGAGGAACATCACCCCGACTCAACAGCAGAACATAAGGCCTTACCGAGGTTACGGCAACTCCGCGGAGCTCGCGTACAACCACTTGAAGAACATGTATCAAGCAACAGACAGTGTAAACCAAAGCCGGTTAATGGCGCAACTGACAACAATAGAAATGAAACCAGGCGAGAAGGGCATGGAGTACATCAGTCGCTGCCGCGAGCTGCGCGACAGGCTTCTTCAATGTGGGGGATCGATCTCAGAAGACGCCTTTGTCACGGTTGTCATCGGCGGTCTCGGCCCTCACTGGCGCTCCACACGCGCCATACTACGAGCACACGGGAGAATCTCCGAAGCAGCACTCTGCGCCGAAATCCATGCCGAGCAGCAGGACATGGACCTGCAAGAAGAACGACATAAGAAGAAAGCGTCAGTACCAGAGTTCGCCCAGCCCACCCAGCGACGCTACAACAACAATAACAATCGACAGCAACAACAACTGAAGCCAATACCTCCGTTTTGCCATATCTGCAAGACTTCAGGGCATCCACGTACGCACTGCCCGTATCGTCATCAATCGACAACACCACAGCGACAACTACGACCTTCGAGCAGCCAAGTCACTTCGACGCAAGCAACCCCAACAACTTCAGTCCAAGCTTCAACGACTCCAACAGGACAGCCTGCACAAAAGACAAGAAACTGTCAGAATATTTTTCTTATGTTCTAGCCTGTAGTGGGGTGCTCTATAGCGAGTACAACCCTTCTAGGGTTTGCTATTTGTATCCCCATTTCTGCTAGTTCATTCCTCTTTCCTCTTTCTTTCTTCTAACTTTTGACATGCTATCAGAGCAGGTCGATCCCCTTGGATCGATCCTGTGGGTGGGTTTCCACCTCGCTTCCGCTGCTACCTTTCCTTCCCGCCGTGCGCCCCGAGGCGCGCGGCGGTTTTCCTTCCTGCCGTGCGCCCCGAGGCGCGCGGCGGTTTTCTGCCCGCCGTGCGCCCCGGGGCGCGCGGCGGTTCTTTGCCCGCTGTGCGCCCCGAGGCGCGCGGCGGGCGTCTGCCCTACCTTCGCGGGCGTCCGCCCTACGTCGCGGCCCCGCCCTACGTCGCGGCCCCGCCCTGCGTCGCGGCCCCGCCCCTCGAAGCGGCCCTGCCCTACGTCGCGGCCCCGCCCCGACCGTCGCGGCCCCGCCCTACGTCGCGGCCCCGCCCTGTGTCGCGGCCCCGCCCCTCGAAGCGGCCCTGCCCGACCGTCGCGGCCCCGCCCCTCGTCGCGGCCCTGCCCCTCGTCGCGGCCCCGCCCCTCGTCGCGGCCCCGCCCCTTGTCGCGGCCCCGCCCTCCAACCAAGCCCGTGGTGGGCCCCTTTCACCACACCGCCTCCCCCCCCCCCCCTCCCCCTGCCATTTCCCGTCGTCCGTCGAGGCGACCTGAGGGGGCCGCTGTGGGGTGGCGGGTATGGGGGTGCTCGGTGTGCCTTCCTCCCTTTGCTCCTCCTCCTCCTTCGTCTCCCACTGCTGCAGCTGTCGCTGAGGGGGGTGGTTGTGTGGGAGACTCGGGTTTAGGGTTTAAGGGGGGTGCGTGGGAGTGCAGCTAGCGGTGTAGCAGTGGGTGTGTATCAGGGGGGTGGGACTGTGTGCGGGAGGTTGAGTGGAGGTTGTCAGTTTGTCGTTCGCAGCACCTGTAGTCCGGGGCGCTGTCCCGGTAGCCCAGTCGTAGCCAGCTGTGCCAGCCGCCCGTGGGTCCGTTGCCCGTCCGCCGCTATTTGAGCCGCGGGGCCTGTTACTCCTGTAGTCCGGGCGCTGTCCGGTAGCCGCTGTGCCAGTGTGCCTCCTGTTGCCCGTGTGCCTGCAGCTTCAGCCGTCGCCTCCTATCTCCTCTCCCCTCACTCTCTCTCCTCCTCCTCACTTGCCCGTTGTGACTACCACTAGCTCTGCTCATAATTGTGAACTCTAAACTATCTC